TGCAACGCGTTTCAAATGTCCCGTTCCTTTACACCACTCCCTAAATCAGTTGTGCAGAAAAATATTGAAGACTTCGCTTATTATCTATTAAATCAGAAATTTTCGTTTTGTTGTTATCATTAATTAATCACATAATTGTCTAAAAGTTAATTATTTGCAAACAACTTATTACAACAAATTCAATTACCGTATTAACTCACAATAAATAGTTCTCAACTTTTCAGCTCTTAAAACAACGTCCAAATAAAGCTCCAAAAATTCTCACAAAACTTACCATAACATACTAAAAGCTTGTTTCAATTGCATGCTATTAAAGCTTTACGATATATACCAGACATTTAGTTATATACAAATTCTTTGAATTCATTTGTTTTTCGTTCAAATATGATTGAAAACATTTTTTGACAATTTTAATGATACTGTATAATAAGCTTTGAGTGAAAACACTGTGTAAATGATATTTGATAGGTTTTTGGGTTTCTAACTAATCATTAGTTGCATATTTGAATGGCTCTATCAAAATCTCTTACAGTCAAGTTATGGCATTATGATATTAGCTTTTTCACCTTTATTTCATACAAATTGAACAACTTTTTTTTATAGTAAAACAATTTTTTGATATTTAATTTAATTTAAGTTTATTATCATTATTATAATATAAAGAATACAAATATTTCTAAGCTTACAATAAAATTTAGCTATAGTTTATTTATAGCTATTTAATAATAATTATTATAATCTTGTAATAATAATTTGATTTTAACATAAGGATATAAATGTAGTGGCTTATTTAGTAAATAGTTAAAGACAAATTATTATAAATATATGGTTTTGATTATAATTTGATTTTATTGTAAATAAGGTTCCCGGAAAAGCATTTATTTGTTTGTAATAAATATAGCTTTATGTATGTATTAATATTGAATAAATAAAATAATGATGAATTTGAAGTGTTTTCATCATATGATTTGATATAAAGAGTGAATTATTATATTACGGTTTTGACAGTTTATCATTCATTAAACTCTCAATCAATTTCTAAATCTTTATGAATATTTTAATAATAAAAATATGTTAAACCCAATTATATAATATTAGACTTACAATATACAATGTATCATAAAAATCAATATTAGTTTAGTGTCTTAAAAATAACAAAATAATTAGTTACCTAACAAGTGTTAACAACATTTCTAGAAAAATTATAACAATTAATAGAATAATCTAAACCAATGAAAGAATAATGATTTTGTATAGGAATTGAAACATTACAGTTAACAAGTTCATTTCTCTATTGAAATGCATTAAAGTTTGTGAAAATACTTGTATTTATTCATTATAATTGCTTTAAAGGAATTTTAACACAAATTATATCTTGTTTACTTTTTAGCAAGATTACTCAAAAATAGTGTTAATTTATAGATTCAAAATGATCATGATCACATTAGATACTGTATATTGAAATGAAAAACTCTTACAAAAGTTGCCAAAAGTATAGCGATTGGTGCACCATATAAACCACGCCTCGAATACATGTGTTTTGTGTTGAAAACAAACAACACTTTTGTTCGACCGAAGTGTACGATAGACTGACTCTAACTCTAACTGTAATCGCAATTCAATTAGTTTTCATTCATTTGCTAACATTGAGTGAAGACATGCTTTCAGTGTTGAGTCGATTGAGAGTCCCGTCTTTGGCGGGTGTCGTACACCGATC